ACACACACACACACACACACATCTTTCACAACAGTGTGCAGGTGGAGAGGTGAGCTGTAGACACATGGTGAGCAGGACAGAACCTGCAGCCTTTTCCTCTGACGTCATTCTGCTGTCGGGGTGTTTGGACGATGACGTCATAGACGGGAAGGAACACGGAGAGAGTCGGTGATTAGTGTTCCGTCTCTACGGTAAACAGAAGGTGTGCACCGTGCATGTTTGTGATTAAGAAGAGCGCGTGTGTTTATTGCTTATTTTCAACCAGCAGGAGAAAACGATTAACAATCAGCCTGTAATGACGATAGACCCTGAGAATCTGGGTTTTCTCACACACACCTTGACCAGACGTCCTCACGGGGACCACAGCATACGTCACTTCTGAGCTTGTGGTTTGAATTTTAATCTGTGTGTCCAAACCTGACGTCTCTTTCTGTATCTGCCTCCATTCCACTGGTCAGCGACTCCCAACACGAGACACTGATTCACATCTTCAGTCAGATTTTTATCAACCCTTGTTGTTGTTGTGTTGTTGAATGTGTGTGTTTGTGTGTTTCAGAGTCTCCCCTTCAGTTCTATGTGAACCATGCCAGCAGTCCCAACGTCACCGCCTACGGTCCAGGTCTGAGCTACGGCGTTGCCAAAAAGATGGCCACGTTCACCGTGTTTACAGAGGACGCCTCCGAAGGTACGGGAGGAAGGAGGAGATCATCGGTTTAAATCCAGAGGGGACGTCCTGTTGTGTCTGACCAACAGTAAATATGACATAAGTCAGACAGAGGAAGCAAATTCTCACATTTTGGGTTTGATGCCAAGAATGTTAAATGCCCCCGTGTCGGGGTTTTCTGTCCGATCTATCTTTTTAAACACGATATCTCAAGAACACTTTGAATTTCTTCAAGTTCAGTTGAACTTAAAAGACTCAAAGATTAGCTGATTAGAATACAGGGGTCAAAGGTCACAGTGAAATTAGTCTGTCATTTCATTTTTAGCCTAATAAAAACCTACATTGGAACGATTGTCGTAATCTTTCTAAATTAAAATGTTATCTCTAAATTTGTTTTTTTACATTCTGTATCAACCGTTTGTGTCTGTCCAGGCGGGCTGGACTTGGCCATCGAGGGTCCGTCCAAAGCGGAGATCAGCTGCGTGGACAACAAGGACGGGACGTGCAGCGTGAGCTACCTGCCCACTCTGCCCGGAGACTACAACATCCTGGTCAAATACAACAACGACCACATCGCCGGCAGCCCGTTCACCGCCAGGATCACCGGTCGGTCCGCACACCGACACGCAAAAACACACAGATCCAATGAACATTCCCCCGAACCTCCGGGAAAACAAACCTTGTCTTTTATTCTGCAGTCAAGAGTTATTTTGTTTAAGCAATAATCCGACTTACCGTGTCTCACCTCTGTGTTTGTGCGTTTCAGAGGACAACCAGCGGCGCTCTCATGTCAAACTGGGCTCAGCGGCAGATTTCTCTCTGGATATAAACGAGACGGACCTCAGTGTGCTGACCGCCAGCATCCGGTCGCCATCCGGCCGTGATGAGCCCTGCCTGCTGAAGAGGATGGCTAACAACCATATTGGTACAACACCTTAAAAAATACACATTTAAAAGTTATTAAAATCTGTATTTATTTTAAAATGTCCTTTTTATCCTCTTCTTCTTCCTCCTCTCAGGGATCTCCTTCATCCCCCGGGAGGTGGGCGAGCACCGCGTCAGCATCCTGAAGAACGGTCAGCACATCCCCAACAGTCCCATCACCATCATGGTCGTCCAGTCTGAAATCGGCGACGCCACCCGAGTCAAGGCTCACGGCGACGGCCTCGTCCAGGGGACCACATTCAACAATGCCAGCTTCGTGGTGGACACACGAGAGGCCGGTCAGTTGCAGCGAGCCATAGAAACTGTCACGTGTCTTCAACCTTAGACAGTGTTGACTCGATTTATCTGCATGTCCAGGTTATGGAGGCCTGGCTCTGTCCATCGAAGGTCCCAGTAAGGTGGACATCCAGACGGAGGACATGGAGGACGGGACGTGTGGAGTCACTTACTGTCCGACTGAACCTGGAAACTACATTGTCTCGATCCGCTTCGCTGAGGAGCACGTCCCAGGTTAAATCAAAGACACTATGACGACCATATAACTATATAATAAATGTGTGTGTCGAGACATTTAGTGAAGAACACTGGGAAATATCTTCTCGGACAAATAGAGGTGCGTGTGTTTGTCAACAGGAAGTCCGTTCACAGTGCGGGTGACGGGCGAGGGTCGTATCCGGGAGAGCATCACTCGACGACAGAAGGCAGCATCTGTCGCCAGCGTGGGGAGTGTGTGTGACCTCAGTCTGAAGATACCAGGTACACACACACACACACACACACACACACACTACACATTTCACTCTGACTGTAAAAACATTCGGCAAATCTGGAGGAAACTTTCAGACAAAAACGTCCTGCGTCACCAGAGCTGCTCTGTCTTTTCTAAACTTTTTCTGACTTTGTCCTGTCTCATCTCTCTTTTATGATCTTTTCTTCCCTCTCCTTCCATTCTTCCCTTCGTCTCACCCGTCCTCTTTCTCCTTGACTCTTTCTTGTTCCTCTCTTGTTTCTTTTCCTCTAACCCACGTGCCTTCTCTTCTTCCCTTTTCTCCCTCAGTTTATCTTAATTTTCTCCTCCTTCACCTTCTGTCCCCCTTCGCTCATACCTCCTCTTCATCCTCCTCCTTTCCCTCTTCTGTGTGTTTTCCTTCCTTCGCCTCCCCGTCCTCTCGCCTCCTTCTGGTCATCCTCCTCTTCCTCCAGTGAGCTGGTTCCTCCTGGTCTTGTCTCGGCAGCTCCTCTCTCACTCCTGCTCCCGCTCCTACTGCTCCCTCTGGTGGTCTGGCAGCTCCAGCGGTCGCGGGGCTCGTCCCTCCGCTGTTGTCTCGGGTCGGAGCCTCTCCCCTGGGCGCGTCCGCCTCATCTCCGGCCTCTCTGGTCTGGTGCTCGCGGGCAGAGAGAAGGACGTGAAGGGTGTTTGTGTTGTTGATGCCGGCTGCTCAGTGAGCGGTGGAGGGGTGGAGGGTGCGTTACAGAGCCCTCGGAAAAATAAACTTTACTGGGCAGCACATAGGTTTTGTTATGTTGCAGCTGTTTGTGTGTGAGATCTCTTCTCATCTGTTTCAGCTTTATTTTGTTTGGGTTTGAGTGACACATTGAATAAATCACAGAAATCAGAAGACGTCACACATCAGCACGCACACACAATGCATCATGGTACTTTCTGCCTGCTGCGTCGACGCCACATCTTCTGTCTGTGTTTACAGCGATCGACATGAAGGACGTCACTGCGGAGGTCACGTCCCCCTCCGGAGCGAATCAGCCCGCCGAGCTGGTCGCCGTTGGAAACGACACCTACTGTGTGCGGTTCGTGCCCACAGAGATGGGCGTGCACAGTGTGAGTGTGAGGTACAGGGGCGTGCACGTGCCAGGCAGCCCTTTCCAGTTCACCGTGGGGCCGCTGGGAGAGGGGGGGGCGTCCAAGGTGAGAGCAGGAGGTCCGGGACTGGAGGGAGCACAGGCAGGAGAGCCAGGTGAATATATACGCAACCCAAACAGACTTGACACTTCAGGGGAGTTCAGGAGCGGCAGAGAAATCCTGGACTTATATATAAATGTTTCTTGCTCAACAGCTGAGTTCAGCATCTGGACGAGGGAGGCGGGGGCCGGCGGCCTGTCCATCGCCATGGAGGGACCAAGCAGGGCGGAGATCTCATTCGACGACCGCAAAGACGGATCCTGTGGCGTCTCGTACATCGCTCAGGAGCCTGGTAGAGACAACAGTCTTTACTCTGATGATAATAATGATATAACTTCCTGTATACATTTCAAAATAAAACTGAGTTCTATCAGAATAAAGTACAGTTTCTTTCTTTGCACCTCGTCTCCAGGTGATTATGAGATTTCGGTGAAGTTTAACGACCAGCACATACCGGACAGCCCCTTCCTGGTTCCGGTCGTAGCTCCGGTGAACGACGCCCGCCGCCTCACTGTTACCGGCCTTCAGGTGAGGCATGAGGAGACACCTCCACACCCAGCCTGCCCTGCCTTGCTAAAGGGCTCTGAGGCCCAGTTGCATAAGAAATATGTTTTTCTCCAATAGGTTTGATATCATTATTTTACTCTCTCATAACATTTTTCATGTTGATAATTTTAACTATAGCACCAACAACATCCTGACGGAGCTGAATTGATCAAACTCACTTCTTTCACCCCCACATCTATTGTGAATTATGAACAATTGAAACGTGTTCTCAGAGCGACAAGAAGAAAATAAGTTGGTTGTCTCAACCCTTGAATTTGTTTCTTATTGTTTCTCAGCAGTATTAAATATTCCTTATCTTTTTAAATCCCTGCAGTTTTCCAGAATAGGCAGATTAAAGTATTAGAGTTTTCTTTATGCAACTGGCCTCATGGACGTGACCACAGTCAGGCAAACTGTTTGTGCGAAGTGGACACAAACAACGTGGAGTTCAGAAATAGAAACATCAACCCTCCGTTCTTTCTGTTTTTGAGATAAAACATCACCTCACTGTCATTCGGTGAAATTTATTTGGATTCAATTCCGTGACGTCATCTCAAAAACAGCCGTTGCCTGGCTCTGGTCATCCCGCTCTCTGTCTGGTGTGGAACTGCTGGTGTTTCTCTTGTGTTTCATTTAAAGGCTTCTAACAGCAACATCATCTTCAGCATCTTCATCATCTTCTTCATCAGCAGCAGCCTCTTCAGCTCCCTGGTTGCCTGGTTACAGCAGACAGAGACGTCCCGCTCTCCTCATCGTCTGTACTTTGTTTCTAGCTGTAGATGAACCTCCGCTCTTCTGTTAGTTAAATCCTGCTCTGTATTGTACAGTCAACAGGAAGTACTGGTGTCTTGCTGCTCAATGAGAGTTTGGATTCTGCCGAATAGTTTTTCTGTTTAATATGAATATTTAAAAATTATTGAGCAGATCTGGTTTATGGCTAAATTGAAATTTTAGCATTTAAATTATTGTTTTAATTTCTTACCCCCTGGTTTTCTTTGGACAAGAGGCATGGTTGTGCACCATGAATAATTAAGGAAGTCATCCAAAGGGAGGGATTATAGCATCTTTGTGCTTGC